CCATCACCGCCATGTTTTGCGGTCACGATTCTAGTGTCTGCTGCTTTTTATGGCTAGTGTTGCTATTTTCATTGCTGGCAGACAGTCAGATAGACACTGGGTTCAATGATGCTAACATTCTAATAACTATATACAAATTTACATACATACCCTGCGGGGAAAATCTATAATTCAGATAAATATCTTTGGAGAATTTAACACAAGGATCTAATAGGAAATCGAAATTACATTCCGCTGCATTTTCTTTTTGTCGGAACTAACTCAGACTGCAGGCCGGCCATTTTACTGTTTTCGTGTTCGCTTCTAATTTTTAATAAATGCGATCTAGGAATGAAAGGTGTAGATTATTGGGTGTAAAAGAGCTCAGGTGTTCATCACATCGCTGCCAAAATCTCCAAAACCAATCCTTGCAAAGGCGCTGAAGAAGCACAAAAAGTGTTCTGCCGTCTCAACCTTTTCAAAGCAGGAAGAGAAAATGGGGTTGTCATGGATGTCAACCACGGTCAAGTGTTTGTGTTACGAGAAAAGACCAGTCGACAATCCAACAAGTTGCCTTTAAACTCATCTGCGCAATGAAGGAAAATAAATACTTAGCAAGACTCTGTGAGATTAAGGGTAACATGAGTCTTGCCCACCTGCAGCCTCCCGATGCTTCCCAGTGATTGCTGTCTCATGACTAGGTACTCCTCAGTGACCAGAAATCCAGAGTGAAGTAGTTCGTTCGATTTACAACTTAATTCGGCTTCGTCTTCATCTTTGGCTTCGCTTCCACATTGTCTGCAACCTAAGGGTCCATCACAATCACCTCTGCCGTTTTACGAGGTGGAAGCATCAAAAGCCTATACCTGTCAGTGTGGGACTTCACAGAATAAGGGTTGTTGCCTACGCCGACGATTTAGTGATACTCATCACTCGCCAATTCCTGTCAACGATAAGTGAACTAATGGAGAGTGTACTAGGTGATATCTAATTAGGTCAGCCAGAATGGATTGGGGGGTAAACCGCTCCACAACAGTTTTCGAAGAAGAAGAAAACAAAAGTACATACTTTTTCCCTGCCGAAATTAAGAGAAATTATTTCGAAAGTATACTCGGAATAATTCTGAGCTGAATTGGAAAAATTGGTTAGAGGAGAGCGCCAAGGAAATTCTAGCAGTATACTACACGTGCAAGAGGACTTTTGAAAAGCAATGGGTACTATGAATGTACGTACTCTATGGAATGTAAATCACAGTCATCAGACCCATTGCAACCCACGGGTTCTTAGTATGGGGGAGTCGTCCACAAAGTCAAAGGGAACAACTAGAAATTAATCGGAGTAGCGCACCTTAGGAAGGGCTTAACATAATACATATTTCATTTGCAACCGTTGCATATTTTCATCCATGGTACGGTCGCAAAGAGCGCTTGTGGAACAAACGGGAATACTGGTACGAAAGAGGTAAGGGACAAACGGAAACTCAATAGATCTGCAGTAAGAGTCCTTACAGGCGTCATTATAGGACACTGTGCTATAGTACCAATGATTCAACTTTCGCGAATACGAACAAGTACTCTCTGCAGAGGCTGCACTTTTTGTATCGATGGCCAGGTCAAGCATTTGGGCTCACGCTTTTTCAACAGTCAGGCCGAGAGGCGTAGGTGGAATGGTTGAATCTCCTCGGCTTCATAAGGGATAGTAATGGGTTCAGTAGAATAAGGACTTGAAGATACTCTTTCGATTATAGGTACGTGTCTCCTCCTGACACTCACAATGGTACTCTGATGTAAGAATGTGGTACCCTGATGTAATGCAGAGATGGAGTATATGCAATGTGACCAACCGTACTTCTTTCTGAAGTACAGCACTTATTTTTTAGCTCTTTTACTGCGTACTTCGCAGTACAGTCAAATGTATTTATTTTTTGTACTTCAGGTCCTGTACTTCTCCGATCTTTTGGGCGATAAATCCGTTCAAATCCTTCAAGTCGCCGGCGACCGGAGATGGCATCATTCTTGCGCCATTCTTGGCAGCTTCTTGCGCGGCTCCAAAGGTTCTGGAGGAGTCGTGTAATTGGTTGCCTCCTATTTATGAGAACTGCGTGAGGGCCGTGTACATTTCCAAGGCTTAGGTAATAAATGTGGCGCTCATCCCGAAGGCCGAAAGGGCTTACTTGGAATTTTAGGCCTATATGTAAGGCTGTATTCAGGTTTGCTAAAAACGCTAGAAAGACTGATAGACCTGTACATAAGAAACGCGATTCCTCGGATTGTCCTTCAAAAGCTCAACATGCTTATTGCACGGAAAGGTCGGTGGATACCGCTCTGCACACATTGGTAAAGTGGTTAGAGGAAGCCTTCACGCATAAAAATTATGCAGTAGGGGCTGTTCTTGATATCGAGGGGGCCTTCAACAAAGCCACTCCAGAGGCAATAGTGAAGTCTGTTCATAATCTGGGGGTTGAAACCAAACTAATAAGGCTTATATACAGCTTACTTCGTGACAGCACTGTCGCGGCGGAGTGCACCTGCACTCAGTGCAGAGTTAAAAGGAGCACTCGGGGAGGTGCCGGTCTCACTCCCCTGTTCTAGATTATGGTTGTAAACGATCTTCTGGAGGAACTGGAAAAAGTTAGATGACTGGTGATCGCCTATGTGAATGAATTGGACCGTTTGGTTAAGGGACGATTTCTAGACAACCTTTTTGATCTGGCTCAAGGTTAGCTGAACCAGGTGTGTGATCAAAGGCGGTAAATACCAGCAATTCGGACCTGGTCGTGTTTACCAGGGAGTACAAGATACCCGTTGGGGCCCTTCCTTCGTGTGGAGGGTGTTCGTCCGCGACTCTTAGACAGGGTCATGTACTTAGGATTGATCTTGGATAGGAAGCTGTCGTGGAAGCCCAACATCGAGGAAAGCGAAAAAAGGACGTCGGTTGCCTTGCACCGCCGTAGGATATCAATCGGTAAAATATGAGGTCTATCGCCCAAAGTAATTCATTAGCTCTATGAAACCAGATTTAAGCCTAACTTGATTCACGGAGCCCTTGTCTGGTGAAACTCACTAGAAAAGGCTACCCTTGTAAAAACACTGAATTAGTGGAGCATTAGGAACTTCACCTACTCTGGTGCTTAACGTCATGTGGAATACGGCGCCTGATGATACCGCAGACATAATTATCGCAGCACGAACAGTTGTTAGGCTCAGGGAAACTAGGTGGTATATCACTCCTGAGTTCAGGAGGGCTGTGACTTCGCCCTGAATACATAGATTGCAGAGCCTACGAGATGTATTCCAAAAGCTCCTTCTCCACCTATATTCCCTCAACACACACAACATTTATTGTTATTGTCTATGATCTTTTATTTATTTAAATTTAAATTTTAAAGATAAATAAAATTACTACTACTACTATTCCCTCAAAAGAGGACTGGGTAGGATGGGTTACTCGAATAAGGGAACGGTAAACTTCTTCACGGACGGATAAAAAGTTGGAGACAGGGTTGGTGGAGGTTTCTTCTGTCGGAAACTCTCCACCAAAGCTATGCTTGGGCTTCCGGGCTTCGCAGGGTCTTTCAGGCGGATATAGTTGCCATCAGGTAAGCGGTAGACCCACTGCTAATGGGTGCGACGGTGCTCTCGAAATCGGTAAAGAAATGTCTGACCTCTCCATAAATCGCGTCGGAGTACTTCTTAATAAGTCTAGTTGAGGTGCCGAGTCACAGCGACATCGCCGGAAACTGCATTCCTGATGACCTGACGTTTGAAAGGCATCCTAAAAATGTTATCCCCAAACAAGGAGCAACTAGGAATGCCTCTGTCCTGCTGCGGTGCACTCTTGGATGGTTGGGCCTATTGTTAGCTTTGCGAGTGCTAGATTAACACGCATACTTCGTACTCGCGATAATGAAATTGCCTACTCTACTAAATTCCTAATAAAATGGACCCAACATTACCCCTTAAAGGTGCCGAAAAATACGTTACCTCTCTTGGGCTAGTGATGGGGATTTTGACAGGTCATTTTGCGATTGGTAGTCACTCAGTAAGGCTAAGAATTTCAACTGATCACTTTTGTATCAGCTGCCAAGGGGAAGATGAGGTGGAATCATCTCCACACTTTATTTTGGACTGTTCAACCTTCGTAAGGCTAAGGTGGAAGCATTTTGACTCGCACTTCTTAAGTAACACTGAGCTTTTAGCGATAGAAATTAGTCGAATTCGCCGACTAAATTAAGGGTCTCCGTTCAGGAAAACCTCTTAATTTACCAAGCGTGACCTTTGTCTGGGGCAACCACTTTATCCTAACCCAACCTAACCTGTACTTCGTTGAACTATGAAATATTTGGTAACCTTGAGTATATGGTCCTGTCATAGGACATCGCAATGTTAATTGGACCACATTTATTATATGCATTTCGGTAAATTGTGGAATACTCCTTAGCCCTTAGAAAGTATTTGCATTGAAATCCAAATACTTTGCACAATAAAAGCAGCCATACATACATATGTACATACAAAAGAAGTAGAAGAATTAGAATACAACAATAGTTGTGGTGTAAGCGTATTAAGAACTTTAGCGGACGGACAGATACGACATAGGATACACGTCGAACGGATGAGTGATGAGCGGATGTGCAAACGAACGAACGACGAACAGTTAGACAGGCAGACAAACAAATTGGAAGGACGAATGAACAGTGCAACGTAACGAGCTATATAGTCAGCTTCATCAACGAGCACACCAATTAAGAGCGATGACGTCCAGCAACGTAATTGTGGGGGAACCACCATGAAAGGCAGTAACATTGTGGGGAGGAAGTATGCGCAGGTGTCTACCCACTGTACAGTTTTTGCAGTAAATAGAATAACGCAAGAGGAGCTGAGTGCTAAGAGCGTAGCTTCGGAGAAGAGAGAACGCTACTTTATAACTCGCGCTTAAGTACGCCGCTGCTACTGCTGCTGTTCGCACTGCTGTTATCGTCTACTCCAAGCAAGCGAGTTTCTTATGCCTACGAATTCATTCTCCATTCTCGTTGGCGCTGTGCTGTCTGCTGGACAAAATAACGCAACAGTGAAAAACTGGTTGATTTTGTGTCGATTCACGAATGTGCCAGAGTTTTACATAGACCAGTGGTGCACACGAGGTGAACAGAGTGTATATAAAACGGCATATCAGCAGTGACTGCGCTGTCATTCGCCGGCAGTGCTTACAACTGTGTGTGCAAACGAGTTGGTTCGCGCGAAACACCAGCAGAAGTAGCAGCAGCAACGGAATAAAACGAAAACGTCAAGTAACAAAGAAAGAAATACCTACAAAGAGTACTGAAAACGCCAACTAGGTGCGCCTACCTGCTGGCTGCAGTTAATTGACTGCCAAGTGACTACAGTTGAGGAATTAAATCGCAAAGTGAAAATTGTGTGGTGAAGGAGTTAGAATTAAACGTTACTACCGCGCTAAAAATTTATTTATTTTTAATAACTAACTTGCCACAGGCTGGTTCTTTGTCTTTTGCAAGTGCGCGCAGTTTGATAGGCACTGTATTTACCAGCCAGCGCGCCAGTGTTTACGGCTGATAGAAGTGGTGGACAGTGATTTTGTGACTTTATTTTAAATTTTCTGTGTATTTTCATATCCAAACAGCTGCCTTGTGTGCTGCGTTGTTTGTTTTCATTATTGCATTTTGTTTTACATACTTACGCGTTGATATATTTTGGGCGCTGCCGCGATTCTACGAGCGCAGTTGCGTGTGTGAACAACGTGCGCTCCAGTTTTGTGCAGAAGAAGAAGCAGCAGCAGCTGCTGTTGTTGAGGGGTAGTAGTAGTGGAATAAAGAAAAGCAAAGCAGATGCACGACAAAAACAAAACTAAATTTTTTTAGTAGGTTATAAACAATGAGACTGACATAAATAATAACATAGAACAGTTTCTTCATAACAAAAATTAGAAAACATACAAAAATAGAGCTAAAAACTGTGCGTGCGAGAAATATAAGAATAGTTACCAAAAATAGTGTGAAATTGCAACTAGTGCATTTGACAAGCGTCAGCAGAAAATTATACAAAAACAATACCAACAACACAGGCCAACAAGTGCAAAAAAGACAAAAATGGATGCAGACAACAAAAAACCATTTAAGGTAAGTTTTGCTTAATTTGGCGTTAACTTGCGAGTAGTTTTCATTTAATTCTAAAAAAATGCCTGTTAAGTGTGATAGTCTACTGAAGTCAAAATAACATAAAAAATACTAAATTTTGTTTTACACTGTGTGAATCGAAATAATAGTTTTAAAGTTTATAAGTTAAATTTGCGTAATAAAAAAGGAATTCGGAAAATTTCAATTATTTTATATTGAACAAAAAATTTTTAATGTGTCCGTTGGACTCTTATTTTTTAACCGACTTCAAAAAACAAGGAGGAAGGTTAACAATTCATCGGAATATATATATATTTTTTTACATACAGTCAACGTCAACAATATGCATACAATATGTTTCTTATATTTTTGTAAAATATACATGGTTAATTCAATAGCAAAAAGAACAAGAATAATTTCTTTTTTAAATTTCATACAGAAATGCAAAAATCTACGATAATTTTTAGCGACTTGAAACATGCACATTATTATTTTAAAATTGTTTGGGCTACAAAACTGCATACTCAAAATTATTTTATAAGAAATCGAATTGAAAGATTCAAAACTTCTTGGTATTTCTTGCATTTTCGCCAAGTACTGTGTAATTAAAATAAAAAAGCAAAGAAAAATTTCATATGGAAAACATATAAAAGAATAAAATCGTGTAAGCGTGAAGGTATGCAAGTTTTTACGCTGACCGTATATCTATGGACCACGTTAACTGATAATTATTATTATTTTTTTTTTATCGGAATGGTAGCACCTCAAGAGTGGTCCCACACTAATTTGATTTGGTTCCGATCATTGAATCACGAAGAATTCAGCTGTACTTCCAAATTTTAATATGAGAATTGGAGTCGGTTGTTGTTTTGCTTAAAAACCTGCAAAAAAATTTTATTTTCTTAATCACCCAACTTTTCCCGAAATATATATATATTTTTTTGAATTAAGTACCAAATATGATTTAAGTTTTTATTTAATGTTTTTCTAAAATGCTTTCGACAAAAATAGAGATAACAAATAAAAACTTTTTGGTACATAAAAAAAGTAAATATGCATTGTAAGCATTGGCGCAAATTTTTTGATGTAAAATTTTGTGTAACTATAATTAGCAGTATTGTTTTATAAAATTAATTTAACAAATACTTCTTCACACTTTTCCAAAAAAAATATTTAAAAATTTCAATACCAGGGTTAAAAAACAACGCTTAAAATTCTCGCACCAATACCGAGTAGGTACAAATTAGAAAACGTGTGAGCTTGATTTTGTATCTATTTTTGGGCGTCTCTGCGCTATTGTTTTTGGTCTAATTTTCATTGTATGTTCTTGCTTTTAGTTTTTGCTCATCAAAAACTGGGTGAAGCTATATTCATACACACATATGTGTTTTTTTTGGCATATATATGTAGTTCTTTCTGTGCTCTTAAATTTATAATCTAAGAGTATTCAATTATTAAGTCCATGTTACTTTACAGTGGTTGCGCAGGAGCGCTGCTGTTACAATAGAATTGCCATAAAACAAAGATTTTAAAAATTTACATGTTAGGTGCAGTGGCCGATTTTTAGAAGAACATTTGTAACTGGAAGGGAAAAAAAAGGTTACCAGTATTCCTAGCCGCGCTGTAAAAGCAATAAGGAGTGATATGGCAAAAACTAAAACTTTGCAGGACATTAAGTTAATAATGAGCATATTTACATATGTACAGTGTCTAACTGCTTCTGTACGAGTATTTCTTACACTTAATACAATAAGGTCACGAAATGATCTTTCGTATATTTTGGTAGGGAAACTAACGACTCGAATTTCTCATTTATAAATCATGTTTGTCATTTACTCCCAAAAGTTTATAGTAATTTAGCATTTATTCGTAGATATGCCAAGGATTTTAGATACCCTTACACTCGGAAAGCATTATTTAATTCCTTAGTATGATCTAAACTTGAGTATGCCTCTATTATATGGAGCCCTATTTATAATTGTCACGCCTCTAGGATTGAGCGAGTTCAAAAGGTGTTTATTCGATTTGCCCTCGCTTCTCTTAACTTCTCTGATCCGATTCCCTCATATTACT